ATGCACCGCCTGAACGATGTCGTCAAAGCCAGTTGATGGATACTTGTGTAGGTCCCTATACTGCTTTGATGCCACTTCCGGGTGAACACGCTCCGTTTGGGGATTACCGTTCTCGAAAGACTTATACGCACCCAAATCGGTATACTTCTTCGAAGCAACTTCGGGGTGGATACGTGGTACTGGGTCATCCGCATTCTCGAATTTGCGGTAGGCGGGAAGATCTCTGTACACCTTGGAAGCCTCTTCGGGGTGTACTCGATCGACAGGAGGTGACAAGTCACGAGCAGCGTACTTATGAACATCGCTGTAACGTTTCGACTTCTCCTCTGCTGTCAGGGGTCGCAAGCCATCAGGCTCATTCCACTTAAAGATGCCACCGTATAAATGAAGGTCGTCATAGTTCTTGGACAACTCCTCTTGGGTAGGCTCTCTGAGACCATCAGGCTCGTTCCAGTAGTATGGACGATACAGGTGAAGATCATCATACTTGCTTGCAAAGTCCTCGACGGGAGCGTCGACCTTCGGGGCTAAAGGCTTGCCTCGCATAGTACGATCCATCTGCGCCTTCTCATGGGCCTTCAAAGCCGCCTGACTTGCCTCGAAAGGATCTGCGTATTGATCCAAATCCTTGTACTGCTTGGACTCTTCCTCAGCTGTCAGACGACGCAGGCCGTCGGGCTCATTCCATGCAACTGGTCCGTACATATTAAGGTCTTTGTAGTCTTTGGAAGATTCCTCCGGCGTGAGCTCACGCAGGCCATCGGGCTCATTCCAATACACACCCTTGTTGTACATATGCAGATCGTCATAGTTCTTGGACAGTTCCTCAGCAGTCTGTGGTCTTTTGCCATCAGGCTCGTTGTGGTAAACGGGGCTGTACTGATCCAGATCATCATAGACCTTGGACTGCTCTTCAGCTGTCAATTGGCGTTTGGCTAGAGGGTCGTCCAGGTTCGAAGATGAGTACTTGTCAAGATCTTTGTACTGCTTAGAATCCTCCTCGGCTGTAGTAGGTCGCTTTCCATCAGGCTCATTGTACTTGACAGGGCCATATTTGTCCAAATCATCGTACTCGGTAGACTTCTCTTGAGGTCTCTCATCTATTACTGGTTCATACTTGTCAAGATCGTCGTATTTGGGTTCATCTGGCTGCCTAGTCTCAGTGTTGATAGTAGGCTTGTACTTGTCCAAGTCGTTATACTTGGGAGTCGAGTCAGCCTCAGCAGACACATCAACGAAGTCAGTTGGCTTGAGGTCTCGCTGGGCATCGAATCGAGCTGCCGTTCCGGCCATTGTGGAGTTTGACACACGACGGTTTGTTATAGGATCAATGAAAGTATCATCTTGTCCGTGAACAGCAGAGAAGAGGGTATCTTTCGAGCTTGCTGCACTTGTACTTGCGCGGCTGAAATGGTGAGCATTGGTCAAGGTAGCCTTGCGAATGTTGGCCTTGCTATCGCCTCGAAACAAGTGCTCGATGGCACTTCGCTCCACGTCTTCGATATTCGCTCCTGGTCGGATACCAAATAAGTCGTTCGCCCAGGCCGCTACTTGATCAATGGTAGTAAACTTTGAAGGATCGACAGATTGATTGGAGCCTTTTGCAGTCTTCTTTGCAGAAGCTTTAGACTTGGCGTCCCAAGAAATGCTACGACTCAACGATGTAGATTGCTGGAACCTGACTGAACCACGTCGACGTCCATTTCGGAACTCAGAAGAGGTAGAGGATGACACGAGAGGGGAATAGTGTCTGCATTGCTCGCATTTGGATTGGAGCGAAACGGTAGAGCGTAAAACATTCGCTGTGCCGGTGCGAGACTGAACAAGTTGTTCACTTGTCCAGATGCGTGTTGCCGCTAGCATGGTAGTAGAGCTATGAATGACCTAAAAGAGCTGGTCAATGTCAGTACTGTGTAAGTGAGTCGATCTTGGAACACATGTTGGTTGCGAATGCCAGACATGTTGCAGATGCTATAGACTTACGGATACAAGTATGGGTGATTGAGGGCGAGCACCCAGGTGACAATCCCGGGGCTGCTATTGGAACAGTTCAAAAGGCACGGTACGTGATGTAAGGCTGGAACCCGAAGCCGTCGGTTCTGGAAGTGAGACAGTAGTGACTAAGACGATGAGGCTGTATTGAACGCGAGCGTAAAATGCTGCAAACTGAATGTGAATAATTTGAAACTGGAGAATGAAGAGAAAGGATGACGAGCTACATGAGGGGAACCCAAGACCTTAAAACACACTGGACTGGACTGGATGGACGGAACGGAAACGACGAACGACGACACGCGATGGGGCCTTGTTTGGTCAGGGACAGCCTGCGGTTCAATCAAGACCGCCCGGGGGAAGGCACTAAATGAAGTGGAGACCCTGTAAAGTTGGGGGGAGTGGAGAGGACATGGCCTAAGAAAAAGAGGGGACAAGGAGAGAAACAGCCAGTGTAAGACGAGATACACTTGGATTGATGATTGTGAGAGAGCTAGAGCTAGAGGAGGGGCTTGTTTGGTGACGCCGTGAAACTGTAGCACGGCTGACAGTTGTGACTCGTGTTGAAAGCTTCTTGTGTCTTGTTACTCTGTACTCCGTGCCGTGTATCCAGCCAGATTCACTCAGAGACTTCAGTCCACAACCCGGTAGAACTTACCAAGCGCCGCAAACGTGTCTCAAACTGATGACGCCTTAAGTCATTGCAATCTCTAGGTAGTGTCTCAGATACTTAGGCAGTGAAGTACAGTACCAACCTACAATTCGGATCATTCAGCCGCTGTAACGAACCGTGACTGCAGAAGCCAGACCCACTGCTCGTCGTCCATTTGCGGGGAAGAGACCATCACCCCGAAGCGGCAAGTGGACGCTGTTCCCGCCCCGCCTGTCCGTGAACCAGCCGTTGACGTCAAGCTCGCAGGGCCCAGAGCCTCTGCCTGGGAGATTCCTACCTAATGATGGGCACATCTGCTTACACAGCCGCTTTTCTCTTGACCGAAAGATCTTGTGAAACAATATGGCGTAAGGACAGAGTGGCTTACCTGGTTCCAGACCAACACGCAACTATCGTGACCTCCATAAACAGACATTCCGCTCGTTGTCAAGCGGCCGCTCAAAGTTGTTAATGGTGCGGCTCACGCGAGGTGGCAGGGATAGTCGAGGTCGGCTTATCTGGTCTCTGCTAGGGTCTTTGTGGCTTTGAACCCCTAAGACATTCGATTTTGGGGACAAACGCAAGCAGACATGGATTCGATGCGACCGTATTGAACCGGAAGAGTAGGAAACGATATCAACAAAAGCGGCTCTCTCGACTCGACTGAGAAGCCGTGTTGCTATCGCGACGCTGGTCTCGACGGTCTCGGCTGAATTTAGCATTCAACAGACTGCTGAGGCTATTGATCTTTGTTGTTTAGTGGTTGATTTAATGGCGCATATCGCGGCCATTAAACGACTCAATCCTACCTGGCGTGCCGCAACCAATCGTAAGACGACAGGGGCTTTTGTTGTCTGAAACCAAGGGATGGATTGCTCTCACATGCTTGCATGCAGTGGCGATCCGTTGCAACCTGAAATACAGGTCATCAATCAGCAAACCAGGCAAACAAGGCCGCCAGCATTCTTTGCTTTCTTTTTGCGAGACACAAGACATGCAAAGCCGAATCCGAATCGATCATGCTCTGTTACTTCTTGGCATTGACAGTTGCAAAGTTTGAGCCTGTCTAATGCTCGGGCTGCTTATCTTTGAAGTGATTGGTACACGAGCTGATAAGTCACATCTGTGCCTCTGTGAATCGATAGTGTACTTCGTGCTGTAAGTCGACGGTTTGAGAAGTGATTACAGGGGTTCCGTAAGCTGATTGGCACACCGTATGAGCCGCAGCACTCCATTCATTGTTAGGAAGTTAACGGATCTCAATGGTTCCTTCAGCGGGCGCTTGATGAAGGAAGTATCGTGAAAGATAAAATGCCACAAAACAGATATGTTTACATTGCCTATATTTTTATTGTGACCTCTACGTAAGATATAAAAGCAGAATTCTGTAGTGGTTTGTGATAAGAATGATAGGTATTTCTACTTGCTTAAGATGCTGCAGCCTAGAGGTAGCTTTATTAATTCAGTTTATTGAGACTTCAGTCTGGCCAAAGACTTTATTGTTGATACTTCTGTGGCTTATTGGAGTACCTGGATCCCATTTATTGGTCGTTACCGGGTTAAAGGTATATAATAAGCATTTCTATGGTTGGTGTCGGGTCTAGGTTAGCTGAGATATCGTGAAGAATATCGGGACTTTGTAGCGGCAGAGCACTAGTAACCTCAAACTTTTCCTCCATATATTCTTGAATTGAACCTAAGCTGAAAGCAATTTCCCTACTTCTCTGGTTACATATGGTAGTCTATTGGTCACAGAGGAATTATGCGTAAATAATTCACTTATGCTTCTTAGCATGTTGGAAACTCACTTACATTACCATTTGCCATTCGCCAGGCTGAGGTTCGGCATGAGTCAAAGCTGCCAGGGCTCGGTGTGAGAGTCTACTCACGAATGAACAAAGCAATTAATGTTTAACTAAAATGTATATAAAAAAAAAAACTAAAAAAAAACCAGATTCTCTTCTACTATATAATCTCTCAACTCATTCATTAAACTTGCCATCATCCATCGTCCTCTTCCATCAAGAGTTAGGCTCATGTACATATTGAACAGCCTGACCCGCCCATCTTCAATCAACCACGCCCAATACTGTAAAAAAAAGGCCTAGTCTAGAGACGCACCAATTCGCACACGATTTGCATCAGTACTTTTGTCACCTACGATAAAGGCCCTAGGTTTAGCCACGGTCCGTGCTTCGTGACATCATTGCCTCACCACCAAATTTCATATCATCATCAGCCTCGAAAGCCTCAGCCGAGTTAGAGCCAACCGATCATCAGCCGAGCGGCACCTGTCACTTTTGAATTATACTCTATATTTGTATTTTTACCTGGTCACCACCAAAGCATCACAGCCATGAAGCGGTCTCAAGGGAAACCGCCAGGTCGTGGTTTTGAAGGACCCCGCTCCGGTTTCTCAGGCTTTGGAGGCTTTGGCACCGCCGCCTCCGGGACTTCCTTGTCGTACCTCGCCGAGCCTCCTTCATTTGCTGCTGTCTCGGATCCGAATGTTGTCGTGTCGCTCAAGAACATTCTGAAGAAGGACAGCACTACCAAGGCCAAAGCGCTCGAGGAGCTACTAGCTTATGTACAGGCTCATCCATTTGACAAGGATGGCGGGGTTGAAGAGGGCATCCTCGATGTTTGGGTCCAAATTTATCCTCGCACATCTATAGACAACTCACGTCGCGTGCGTGAACTGACGCATAACCTCCAGTTTGAGCTCATGAAATCAGCCCGCAAGCGTTTTGAACGTCATCTGCCAAAGATCGTCGGCGCATGGCTTGCCGGCCTGTATGACCGCGACCGTGTTGTTGCCAGGGCTGCTAGCGACGGTCTAACCTCGTTTCTCAACACCCCTGAAAAGGTCCTTGCGTTTTGGACCAAGTGCCAGGGCCAGATCCTTGACTATGCCATTGATGCTATCCAAGAAACACAAGATACCCTGAGCGATGAACGATCAACAACGGCGGAGGATGCCGAGGCAAAGTATTACCGAGTTGTTACTGCTAGCTTGTCACTTGTCTTGGGTTTACTGCAAAAGGTTGAGCCAAGTAACTTGGAGAAGTTGCAATCTCGATACGATGACTACTTTGCGGAGGAAAACGTTTGGAAGACCATTACTTTCAATGACTCGTCAGTCAGGAAGACGGTATGTCAGCTGCTGTTCGCCTCCATCGACCGGAAGTTGCCATATGCCGATGATGCAAAGGTCAAGCAAGCCTTCATCACAGGAGGTCTGAAGACGAACCAAGCTGGCTCGGCGCTCGAATATGTACGGGCGTTGACAAAAATGACACAAACATATCCCGATGTTTGGACATCAACGAAGACACCGAGCGGTCCAAAGTCTCCTCTTGGCAGACTGCAGGCATTCGTCGCCAAGGGATCTCAGGGCAGTCCGCCCAAGTTCTGGGAGTACTTGGATCAACTGCTGATGGTTCTGCCATCGGATTTGATCACACCCGAGGTTGCTTCCCAATTTTTGACTTCTCTCAAGTCTGGTATTACACATCGCGATGAACCTCGAACGAACACTTCTTATGCATGGAAGTGCTTCATCGATACAGCCAAGCGCCTCCTCAAGAATCTCCCGGCCGACGACCAATTGCCATTTGTGCAAGAGCATCTCTTCCCTCTCATTGAGCAGTTCTTGTTTTCGGTGTCAGAAAAGACAGTAGCTATACCGCTTGGCCCAAACGCGATTTCCGTCCTGGTCGAAGCCTACATCGCCACTGTCCAAGCCTCACCATCGGTGGTATCCGCATCCAAGGAAGAATGGGACCGACTCGCCAGCGTCTTCTGCGCAAAAATCTCCGGATCGTTGCCTGAGGTTTCGCGGGAGTATCAACAGTCTCAAGAAAAGATCTCTGAGGAAGGCCGACGGTGGTTCGGTCTCGTGGGCCAGATTGAGGAGAAGATAGCTGACCTGGAAGAAGATGTTCCAGACCATACAGCTCAACCCTCTCTCAAAGCCATTTCTCAGAGTATCACACTGCTGGAGAGCCGGAACTTGAAGCCATTTGGTGCAGCTCGAATCATCGAATATGCATTGAGTATGGCACCCCGCTTATTCGACGGCAAAGGGGCTGCAACGCTCTCCACGTTCTTCACTACCCTGGTTCGTGATGATGCTGCCAAAGCTGTCACCTCGCCCTCCTCGAGGTACCTTCTCTCTTCGCTTCACCTTTTCGGCTCCGTGTCAACTCAATTCGCACCTATTTGGAACTCTTGGGTCGAGGCTGTCCTCGATCTACCATCAGAGGCTACTCGTGATGTCGCCCTTGCATCACTCATCTCCAACGATAGAGGAGCCGTTCTCGCCAAGGGAAACATGGACTTGCAAAAGCACATTATTGGTCAGGCTGTTCTTTTGGCGGTCGGTGGTAGCAATGATTGGGAATTGTTGGAAGCTGCTGTCACATACCAGACTCTTACTGACAGCAATTACCGAGACCTTGTTCAAGCTCTTGTCGAAATCCTTGAGAAGGAACCTTCGAAGACGGAATCAACACTCCAAGCCTTGGAGATTGCTGCCAAGGGTCGACCTGAGCTGTTCTCCCGCGATGAACGCGTTCACACAACGTTGGTAGCTCTGCTTCTCGGTCTTTCTGAGCTTGAGGACTCCGCTATTTCTTCAAAGGCGACTGCCATCCGCACTCTTCTCGATACTCACACTGACGGAAAGCTACCTGTTATAGCTGTCGTTCAAGCCAACCTCGAGCGAGCAGGAACACAGTCTCTGGACATTAACACGTTGGTGTCGCAAGCATACAACGCGGTCTCGAGTGATATCCCGTCCGAAGAGCTCTTCCCAAGTACCAACGTATGGATGAAGGAACTTGCGCCATTATTGGAACTGTCTGTAAATCCGGCTCTATCAATTACTAACAGCATAGGTGGTGCTGTTTCCTTGGTGAAGGGAGCCCCTCGATCTACCAATCTCAGAATTTATCGGGATAGAAAGGGACGTGCCATTCCTACAAGAATGGCTCTTTATGTTTCTCAGCTTTCGGAGAAGCTTCCATTGTCTCAGTTGCCCAAACCCTTCCAGCTTGAGCTGTTGTATCTTCAGTGTCTGACTGTGCAGCTCATCTCTGATCAAATCACCTGTATGGAGGAGAACCGGCTGTGGCAAACTCTAAAACATGCTGAAGGTAGCGCACAGGCTGAAGAGTTCGTCTCCAAGACACGTGGGATTTTGCATCAGTTGGCTGCTGATACTGGCGCCTGGAGCGACTCGGAAGAGAAGCCGATCATCCAAGACCTCATTGATCTATTAAGCCAACACTCGCAAGAGCTGACGCCCAGAGGGCTATACAGTGCACGTGCGCTCAGTGAACTTGTTCAATTCCTAGCTGAGGCGCATGGAGCATCATCCAGCTTCGAAGACGCCCTTCTGAAGCCCGATGTTCTCAAGATTGGCCCTACTACCGTCCTGCCAGCCTCGGCTATAATTGCCGGGTTTGGTGAGACTCTGCAGCCCTCCAAGATTGCTAGCAACTTCTGCAATAAGGTTGTGAGTGAGATCGCAGGAGCCAAGGCAGATAGTGACAAGACATTGATGACTCTTGTTCTTCTGTCGCAATGTGCTCAAATTTACGAGGTGGGCGAAATGCCCGTGGCTAACAACCGAATCGTTTTTGCCGTCCGCCAAATAACCTCTTGGCTGGACGAGCCTGAGAGCCTGAGCCCAGCCCTTTGTGCCGAGATTTGTCGAGCATTGAACAAACTGCTGCCTTGTATGAAGGACGTTTACGGATCTTATTGGGAAAAGACCATCGAGTTTTGCATATCTCTGTGGAACCGTGCGCACGAGTTTGAGTTGAACGAGGCTCTTCCCTTCATTCACTCTTCACTCAGGTTATTTAAGACCATTGAGTCTTTGCAAGAGCCTAACGATGATCTCGAGGATGCCCTCAAGGAGTACGCCAGTGCCAAGCCCAGGGCGTTGATTGAGCTGCTGCGACTTCCTCGGGATGCTCGCTCCCAGCCACTTGAGATTGTGGATGCCATGCTTTGCCGAGAGGTCCAGAAGATTTCTCTGAGACATGTGCCTGATCTGTCTGATCTCTTTGGCTTGGTGGCGTCGGAATCGCGGGACATCCAGACAGCTGCGTTCAATCTGCTTCACCAGGCTCTTCCTGAACAGCAACAGCAAAAGTCCATTGATGCTTTGCTGGAGAAGACAGGTATGCGTAACGATCTACTCCACGAAGACCAAGAACTAACATTCGCAGATGCCCGACTGCCCGATGAACTCCTCTCACTTCTTCTTGACGCCCCCACGCTCGAGAAGTACTCTGACGAAATGCTTGCCGAATTTCCCTCTCCTATCCGCGCATACCTCCTATCCTGGAAGCTCGTCTTTGATGCCTACTCGACATCATCATTCAAGATCCGAAACGACTTTACTGATAACCTGAAACAAGATAATTGCGTAGGGCCACTGCTAGACTTTATGTTTGACGTGCTGGGTCACTCAGCTGCTCATCCATTGAAGCTAGAAAAGGTCAACCTCACTTCAGAGCACATCCAAGACTACGATGTGAAGTTGGCAGATTCGGAACCCGAGGAGAAGAGCATGCAGTGGCTGCTGGTTCATCTCTTCTATCTTCTCCACAAGTACGCCCCTGGCTTGTTCCGTGCTTGGTACATCGACTGTCGGTCGAAGCAGACGCGCATTGCTGTTGAGTCGTGGACGACCAAGTACTTCTCGCCCATCATAGTCTCAGACGTCCTAGATGAAGTCCAAAAGTGGGCTGATAGCCAGGAACCTCCTGCTATGGACGAGAAGGAACTTGTTGTGCGTGTTGCGAGATCCTCCAGAGAAATCATAGCTGGCTATGAAGTCGACGAGGATCAAGCCGCCATCGCCATCAAGATACCTCAGAACTACCCCATCGAAAACGTCTCTGTCCAGAGTCTCAATCGTGTCGCTGTCAATGAGAAGAAGTGGCAGAGCTGGATCATGACGACACAGGGTGTCATCACCTTCTCCAACGGCAACATCATCGATGGTCTTCAAGTCTTCAAGCGAAACATTCTCGGTGCGCTCAAGGGCCAGACCGAGTGTGCTATTTGCTACAGCATTATCTCGACCGACAAGCGCATGCCTGATAAACGATGCACCACGTGCAAGAACTTGTTTCATAGGACGTGTTTGTACAAGTGGTTCCAGAGCAGTAACCAGAATACTTGCCCGCTGTGTCGAAACCCAATTGACTACCTAGGCTCAGATACGAAGAGACGACAGGGTTAGGAGGAGAATCACTGGATAGTATAGTATAGTAGATAGAATAAAAAGTTTTGTATTAGCATGCCAATGTTTTGTGTTGGTAGAGAGATTCGGTCAATGGTGCGTCTATACTTTGGCACCGCCATCTTCGTTGTCTGAGTTCACTTCAACAAGCTTCATATCGCCATCTTCCTTCTTCTCTCCAGTGAGCTTCACATCCCTGTATTTCTCGTCCTCCGCAGACCTGTCCTACAGCTTGGCACCACCCTCCTCGTTGTCTTCGCTGTCTTCAACAAGCTTTGCGCCACCGTCTTCCTTGTTCTCTACAAATCCACTCTGCTTGTCATCCTTCTTGTCAGAGCCTCCCGCCTTGTCTATCTCGGCATTGTGGCGCTTAGGAGGGTTCTTGACCTCGGAGGGGATGAACTTGTTATTATCTGGTTGAGGTTAGGGATGTTGGTGAGAAGGGCGTTGAGTACGTGCCTTCGGGGGCTTCCATTGTGTCTGTTTGGAGTATTTTTGAAGCGTAATTGGAACGTGTATTTTAGTGTGTTATAGTGTTGGTCTATGTGATAGCGAATTGGGAGATTAAATGAGGCAAAGTGTCTAACGTTGATAATTGATTTGACGGTGAGTTGTTCATTATTGGTATGCAACGCTAGTGCTTCAGCGATACGATGCTCGGCCAATTTACCTCACGGGTTCACGGCCAAGGCTTTGTGAGCAAGAGCCTGGGGATATCTGTCAGTGACGTTGCTAAGGGGGGAGAGAATCGCAACTGACCTGCTCAGCAGTAAGTCGCTGACTGTCGTAGCGAAGGAGCGATGACACAAGGTCGATGAAGTCAGGGTCTACATTCGGAAGAAGGTCTTCCCAAGGACGAGCGGGGAAGACAGTCCATAGCTCGAAAGGTGCGACCTTGAATTTTTTTGCCTCGGGCCATGTCTCAGGCGTGGGCGTACCAATTGTTTTGAAGACGCTGAGGATAAGGCCAAGCTGATTGCCATCTTCATGGACCGCGCGAGACTCGAATATAGGGGTTGGGGGATCGCGGAGCGCTTCTGAAAGCATGACTCCTACTCCCCACATATCAACCTCTGGTCCATAGGATTTATGCCCGAAGAGAACTTCTATCGCGCGGTAAGGACCTGTTCCGATGTCGAGGATTTTAGCGTTTGCTGGTTCTGAGTGGATTGATAGCTCGGGATGCCATGCTGTGCCAAAGTCGGAGAGATATGCTGGACCAGTCGGAGAAGAGAGGAGGACTGCAGACGGTTTGATGTCTCGATGGATGATGCCTTGTGCGTGTATATCCTTCAAGGCGTGCAAAACGTCTCGGAAGATAGATCGGACAGCGTCGAGTGGTAAGCGACCGTTGGCGAGAAGGTCTGCCAGAGTATACGGTATGAACGGAAAGACCAGCACGAATCTCTGCTCCTGATCACGAAACGTTTCGAGGAGAGGAATACACGGTTCTCGCAATCCCTTGAGTATCTTGGCCTCCCTCTGCGGATTATGCGGCTCAATATCCTGATAAGTCACAATGACCTTAAGCGCCCTATCACCCGACCGAAAGACCTCTGAAGTTACACCATCCGAAACAGGCCTACAGTTCCCATAAGGCCCAATGCGTATCCCAGAGTCACCCTCCACTTCCTCCTGAGGAGGCGAAGGCGTTGGTGTCGAGGTTGGCTGACAGGCGAGATTGTACTCGTCCTAGGCCATGTCAGCGGATCCGCGAGTTCTGGACCGCTGAAGTTAGGCGCACCTGAGTAGAAGCGATTTGGTAGGCGGCCTGTTCTATGGCGATGGCCTCACTCATGCTAGTTGTAGCAAGGGAGGCTTGTCTACGTATGTGAGTTAGTATTTGTACGTTACACATTAGGCTACCTACATTTTTTGGATCGTCTCGTAGCGCTGAGACATGGTCAACGCAGCTTTCCATCCCGGTAGTTCCATTGTTTTGCTTTGCAGGGTTTGCTTAGATAGGTACTGAAGATGACAGGTCAAATTGGGATCTAGAAAGTCAACTGCTGTCAAAGGATTATAGCACAACAGATAAAGTTTCCCCGCCTGTGGCTGAGAGCTGAAATCAGCAGAGAGAACTTAGTTACTGGGATGTCTCAGATTTTGAGCATCTGGTTCCTGGTGGAAAAGCAGATGGGGAACAGGCCCGCTATTTCATAAAGCAGAAACAAGGCCAAGATGACGAGGAGCAGGGGCTATGATAGCTATGCAATGCCTGTCAAGTCAGAACAGATCAATAATGCTTCAGTAGACGCAGTATAAGATACTTGAATGTAGAGCTTCATCTGGGTTGATATTATTCAAGTACCGAGACTACACTATGAGGTCATGTCGGGGCCTCGTGACTCTAACTTAATTTGTTAGGGAACTTCTCGAAGGCCTCTAGAGAAAATTAACCAACCACCAAACGTTTTGCCCATTAACTTAGCTCCACCGTCTCCAAGCTAAGCTACCCCGGCTGAGGAGGAAAGAAAACTCAGGACCTTGACCCTAAGCGACAAGAATACTTAGGCAAATCTAGCCTAAGCTTAGGGGGCACTTGACATTGTTTATTTTGACACCCCATCTTAAGGTCCAGTCTTTTCTTGCTTCCTGAGACCCAGCCCAAGCCCAAACCCGACTCTGCCAGCCCTGTCTTGTTTCGCTCACTTTCAGCGCCAGCCTCTCTCTAACGTTAGTTATTCTGGGTCAAGGCCTTTTTAGCCGTTGTCGTCCCAGCCAAGGCATTAAGTTACTCTTCTGTCTTCTTTTCCAACCTCGCGTCCCGTCCCCGTCCATCCTCGGCTGCATTGCATTGCATTGGCATTGGATCTACGCATTCTGCGGCAATAATACTCACTTACTCCCCAGAGTCCGACTCTTCCGATAATATCACAATCATCTGATCTACTACGGATACTCCTTTGTTACGTAGCTCATCATCGCATACGAACGAACTCAGCTTGTCTCCTCGGAATCTCGACCGACCCCTCTCGCTCAACCAAACCCGCCATGCGCATCTCGTCCTCGAGCGATTAATCCTATAATTAATTCACTACTCCCTCATCCGTATCTATACATAATTACAGTAATCCTTTGCGCTGCCCATCATGGAGGATATGGCCAGGGCCGAGTATCCCGCCATGCTGGTGAGCTTAATCCCCTCGACCTCCAATTCTATCGCCATAGGCGACAATGGAGGCAGAAATCAATACAATACCATGCTGGACTTTGGCTGACTCTTTTGCGCTGTGAGTAGGCAACTCTCCAGCCCAGCCAGGCGGTGCACACTCTTACCGAACGAATGAAGCGCATGTCCCGCGTCAACACCGAAATTGCCGACTGGCTCCAGGTACGACAATCCGCAAACCGCCAATGGCTACGCAACGACATGGCATCACGCTGCGAGCCTCGTCGACATCCCGCTAATCAATTCTACACAGGAGCGCCGTCGCGTGGAGGATCAGTACGTGCAGGGCCTCAAGAAGCTTGCTACCTTCAAGGTTCCCAACTCTCAGTCTGAGCTCGGGTAAACATCCCTCCTGAGGCCTTTGTATCGCAATTACTCACAGAACTGCAGTGTGTTCCAAGCGCCGTGGAATAGAATCATCGACTCGACGGAAAACATCGCCCACTCGCATCATCAGCTTGCCGATCGCATCGAGAGGGACATCGAGCATCCGCTGCGCAATTTTGCCAACCGCAAAGATGTCCAGAACATGAACACCATGTCCAGCAACCTAACGACTATGGCCAGAGACCTCGAAGAGTCCCAGAATCAGGTCGATAAGCTTACCAAGAAAGGAAGCCGTGCAAACACTTCAAAGGTCGACGCAGCTTCTTCCAAGCTCGAATCTGCTACAGGGCAGTGGGAGTCGCAGGCACCTTTCATCTTCGAGTCTCTCCAGGCCCTCGACGAGTCACGAGTGAACAACTTGCGTGATCTTCTCACACAGTATCAGACCCACGAATCTGATTCAGCTGGGCGTGTGCAGGAGAATGCAATGGAGACCCTTGCTCTCATGCTTGAAATCGACACGGAAAAGGAGATTCAGTCATTTGTGCACAGGGCTACGGCTGGCAAGGCAAAGCTTCCTACAAGGACATCAACACGGCAGTCATCTTTCGCAGGCACAACCCCTTCGACTCCAGTTCCTCCAAGCACTGCCGATAGCACCAATTTGCCTGCTCAGAGCGCCCACACATCATCTCCTGCGCCTGTTCCAGCTCCCGCCTCTTCCCACGCAGGCGACGATGATATCAGCGAACACAACTCGGTTCCACAGGAGAAGCCAGGTAGGTTCATTGACAATTCTCGTTTACCGGTCACTAACAGCTTCAAGGTGGTAAATTACGCCGCCTCGGTACCATGTTCGGCGGACGCAGGAGACAGAGCATGCACGCCGGTTTCGGCCAGCTCTCTCCCGGAAAGCTAGGCCCCAGCTTTGGACGCATGGGAACCAGTCACAGCCAAAACGAGCGCGGTGTCTCCCCTCGAGGCTCCTCCAACAACCTCGCAGAGCACCACCGATTGTCCTCTCTAGCAGAGACTCCCGATGTGCCCAAGCTACCCAATAACGAGACCGACTCGCCCAGGCCCGATGCCTCGCATGAGAACACGAACGGAGTGTCGCACAACGGAAATCTGCTCGACAGCCCGATCCCACACACGACTGGGGGTACAGTCAACGGTAACCATGAACCCGATCTGTCAGATGTCCAGCCTCCCCCTGGCCCTCCGCCGTCACACAAGCAGGAGAACCAGTCCCCCGCGCCGCCAGAGCTCGCAACCAAAGACGCTGAAGGATTTACCGTTCCACCACCAATGAACGACCCCATCTCTGAAGCTCAGCGTGAAGCTAAGGAATCTGGCGAAGATCCTGACCAGCTTCTCAAGGTCAACATTCAGCAGACGCCTGTGGAGGATGAGGACCCAGAGGCCAAGATGGCTGCTCTTTCCAGCGTCGCCAATAGTCTCAAGCTTGGACCGGCCACTCGTCGTAGTGGTACAGTGAGAG